CTTTCGTTCTGGTGGGGTGGACATGAGTAGCCCATGAATTAGCAAGATGGCTTCAGAGACCGAGGACTGAGCTACAGAAGCAGAGGGGATGCGATGAGAGGAAGGGCTCCAGAGAGGGTGCTCAGGGGGACCCAACCAGAGGCCTGGATGAACAACAGGGAGACCCGAAGGGCAGCGTGGCCCGGTGGACAAAGCAACTCATACGAAGGGCTTCGGGTGGGGACTAGGATGGCGTGTCCAGAGGCGGGAAGAAGAGAGCAGGACGAGCTGGTCCATGGGAGAGTTCGGACTTGATTTTTTGTGGCGAGGCTCCCTTGGGATAGTTTTATGTAGGTAAATGGCGTGATCTAATTTTTCTTGTTTTAAAAATCACATACCAATGTTTCCCAGATGTAAAAGAACACGTTTCTTCTCTTATGCATAGTTTTTTTAATCTACTCATTCTATTAACCACACCTGTTTGCTTTGTCACCTTTCCTCCCTCCCTCTCTTCCGTTCTTGCTTCTTCTACAACACGTTGTTAGGAGTTTGAGATTTGGAATCAGGCAGACATGGGTTCAAATCCTGACGACCACCTAGGAGCTGGGTGACGTTGGGAACGTGACTTCTCTTCCAAGAGCCTCAGCTTTCCCACCTGCAAAAGCAGAGTGATGACGGTACCCAACCTGTAGATTTGCCATAATACCTAAATAAAATGCTTCTTGCTACATACAGCATTTACGTAACGCTTAGCACGTGGGAAGCACACAGTGAGTGTCAGGCATTGTTCGTACAGTGACACCAAGTGAAAATTTTAGCTTTGGCACATGACAGAAAACAAAAGATAATTCTTCCTCAGAAGTTCTGAATATTGTAATACAAACTCTGCGTGTGTGTTTAATATATAATTAGAATTCTGATGAAGCAGCTTGCTTTGACTAACACTTGGTGCTTGGAAAATGGTAAGCATTCCTGAAACTTCCCTGGCCTAGATTCTTAGCTTTCTGAAGATAAATTCATTCATATTGTGACTATTTTTAAAAGTCTTTCCAGAGCACTCGAGTTTGTGGGTTAAACCACTGGAATAGTTCCCCATCTTATGATTGATATTTAGAAATATAAAACAGTAATTGTAGTAATAATATAAATATTACAAAACAACTAATGTTTACTAAATACCACATACCAGCCGCTGTGTTAAAACACCTTATAGGAAAAATATCACTTAATCCTCACAATCACCCTTTGAAGAAAGGACTGTTATTTTCTTGCCCATTTTATCATCAGACTGAGGCACACAGACGTGAAGTAACCTGACCGGTCACTCACTTAATAAATGAGGAGTTAGAGGTAAACCTAGGTCCTTCTGATCCACTAAGCGTTTTTCTCTTTTTTTTTTTTTTTTTAGCAATTACACTGAGATGCCACTGGAAATAAGTTCTCAATCACATGTCTAGATAAAATGACTTTCTTAAAAAAGAAAACCACATACTCAATATAAAATGTGTTTTCTGTACTAAGGACATCAAAATGTTCAACTCCCCTCACTCTTTGGGAACTGCCATCTGTATTCTTACTTGATTTCTTTTTATCTTCCTTAAACTCTTACACATTTTTTTTTTCATGAGAAGTAAAACTCTTTGAATATGTCATCTGTTTGTCTGCCTTATGAGAAAACATTTTATTGAAACCAGATTCAAGACGAGCTTCTTCCAAGATTCTTTAAAGAAACTGGAAGCTTAGTTCTGGTCATCTAGAAGGAACTTTTTAGTCTTTTCAAAACAACATGAGGAAGGTGTGTAAACTATTCCCATCTTTGTGAGAGTATAAAATCCATAATCGGTTTCTTTCCCACTCACACAGACTAGATTCGTGTGTGTGTGTGTGTGTTACTGTTTTAGAACATATTTTACTTGTTTTTAATGTTTATTTAAGTCCTGAAATAACTATAATCTCTTTTCCCCAAGTAGATTTTTTTCCTTCTCTTTTAACGAAAAGATAAAGCCTTGGTGGGTGATTTTTTATTTCTGTCCAGCTCCTTCCAACTCACTGCCCCTCATTTCGCTCTCTTTACCTTCCTTCCTCCAATATCAAACGCCTGCCAGAAGAGCCTGGAGACAACCTCCCGAGGAGAAGATGGGTTGCTACTAATTGACACGTGAAATAGGTATTGATTCAGTCCCTGAAATTCTCTCCAAGTCATTGAGTATGCACTTAATTTAAACTGGCATAGTGAAAAAAATATGTGTTGGCTGTGTGATGGAAATTTTGTGGGCTTCAGGCACAAGTCATTGAGTATGCACTTAATTTAAACTGGCATTTTGAAAAAAAAAAAATGTGTTGGCTGTGTGATGGAAATGTTGTGGGCTTCAGGCGCAGCTTGATCCAGGTGTCCAAACACTATCATCGGGTATCTGCTCACTAGACGTCTCGGTACTGCTTTCATCTGTGTTGGTTCCCAGGCAAGCACTCCCAAATGTGATGGCCGAGGCCACCACCTCCAGACATGCCCCCTAATGGCTTGCCAACCCAAACACAGTGAGTGCAACTCGGTCCGAACAGATTCAGCAAAAGTCACAGGGTTTCTTTTTATCAGTCTTGCTTTGGTCATGTGCACACCTGGGAAGTGAGCATTTTAGCAAGGGAAATAGAGGCTCCAGGTGATGGACTTGGCTATGCACTCACCCAAGTTTGGAGGGCAGAGTTTTGCTATCATGGAATGTCCCATCTAAGAAGTCCTAGTTCGTACAAGTTATCAAAAACTCTTCACCCATTCTCTGATACCAAGAACTGTGGTTTGCATCTGTCGTAATCTCTAAATGTAATGAAGTCCAATCTAGATACCAGGATGTGAGGAATTTATCCTTTATTAAAGCAATATTTTGGCACTGTTTTAAAAGTCTGTCCACGGGAAGATTTTTTTTCAAAGATGTTTCCTGTGGCTGTACCTCTCTCAGTTACCACTGCTCCTTTGGTTTCCGGCCAGAGAGTAAAGAAAAGAGGAAAAAGTCTGAAAAAGATCAGTTGATGCTCTTGGCATTTTGAAAAGCCCTTCCCTGTTTTGAATCTTAGTCTCTCCCTTTTTGTCAACTGTTCCCTCTTCTCCCGGCCTGGGCCACACGCGCGATTCATTTATACTCTCTCTGACACTTCACTTGCTCGCTTGGCACCCTGACGCGGCCATCACTTCCTTATTCTCAGGCTCTTCCTCCCTCTTTTCCTCCCTGAGAATAATATTTACCACGATTATGAATTCCTGCAACACAGAAAAAAGTTTCAGAAGAGCTAGACGACGCAGCCAATGTTTCTGCGAGGCGATTTCCTTGTGGTCCGAGTTTCTGTCTCCTGTACAGTCTCTGCTCCTCGGTGCGTGATGGGGAGCCATCAGCTCTCTCTCCCTTCCCATGTTGGTTTATTTCTGACACTAGACACCAGGAGATACTGGAGTCTGGCAGAAACGATGGTTAATAGATGTGGCGTGTGCGTGTGTTTCTCACTCCATATTCATGAATAATATCAGCAGACCAAAAGAGTCTTCCCTTTCTCTTTCTGTCTTCCTGCAAACAAATATTAAGAAGTAGCCGTCTACCACTGTATAAAGCAGGATGTGATATTGACAAAGGCATGGGACAGACCTTAAAAATAATCACGCTATCTCTCAGTTATTAATCACCTACTGTGGAAAAGGTGGCACACCAGATCCTCGGCAGGACTGTTCTCCTTCACACATAGCACGGAAGCTGCTATTATTCCCATTTTATGTATGGAGAAATTCAGAGACTCTTAGTGACTTCCCCAAGGTCACACAGCTTATCATTAGAAAATCTTGATCTTTAAGGGTGATTCCAAAATTAGTGGAATATCTTTTTTTTTCCTGAATCGTGTACCGCTTTATAAAGGGGACCTAAAAATGAAGGTAATTGAATGAGGTCAGTGCAGAGGTCAAGGCGAAACAAGTGGGTGCTGGGAGCAGTGCCCCGCCCACAGCTCAGTCTCAGCCCCGCTAACCTCTGCTTCTGGCCCACCAGGACCTGAGGCGTAATCTGCATTCTTGTGTGGTTATCTGCTTTTCAGCCTTCAAAACGGAGACTTTCTGAGTATTACTTTTTTTTAATTTAATTTTATTTATTTTATTTATTGTTTTAGGCGAGGCAGCCCTTGGTTGACCTCACAGATTGCAAGGACCTTGTCAGCTTACAATCCCTGATATTTTATTTTTTACGCCTACAGCATCTGGTCTTTCCAGGTGGTCTCCCATCCAAGTACTAACCGGGCCCGACCCTGCTTAGCTTCCAAGATCAGACAGAATTGGGTTTGTTCAGGGTGGCATGGCCGTAGACTCTGAGTATTACTTTTTAAAGTCTTTCCGTGTTCTCAACAGATCAGCGACCACACCAGGCCGTGCCCCGTACCAACCTCCTGGGCAGTTGTGGGAAGCCCCCAACCTGTCTGGTTGCCAGTTTTCTCATTTGTAACTAATGACAGTTGCTAACATTCATGACATTCGCTGAGCGCTTACTATATTCCAGGCACTGTTCATATGTCCTAGGAATATTAACTCACGTAATCATAACAGAATGAGGTAGTCGGTTCTACAATTTGCCTCATTTTGCCAGACAAGCGGGGCACAGAAAAAGTAAGTAACTTGCATTCGAACAGACATTCTGACTCAGTGGTTCTGAAATGTGAGCGATTTTTGCACACAGGCTCCCCCTGCCAACCCCCCAAGGGACACATGGCAATGTCTGGAGACATTTTTAGTTGTCGCAACTTGGGGATGCTACTGGTGTGTGCTTTCTAGTAACTGGCTCCCCTCCTCGCTAACCTTCCGTTCCTCTCTCTCAAGAAGAGCAGGGTCAGGAGACACGGAGGGGACCAACTTCTGCTTTGCAGGGTGACTGGAGAACAGCCGAGCTCCAGTCTGCATCGCAGCCTTTGTATATAAAACATTCGGAGTCCATTATCCGTCCTCGAGTTTCCTGGCGTGGTTGAATAACTGCTGTTTGTGTTTGTGTTTACAGTCGATTTGGGAATAAGTGTCAAGGAGGATAATGTGGCCGCTTCTTCCCTCAAGACAATGGAGATAAGCCCTGTTCCAAATGCCAACGGAAAGAATCTTGGGAAAGAGGCCAAACCCGAGGCACCAGCTGCTAAATCTCGTTTTTTCTTGACACTCTCTCGGCCTGTACCAGGGCGTACCGAAGACCCAGCCACGGATTCATCTGCTGGATCAGTGACGCTTGGTGTCACCTCCAGTAACGCTCCAGAGAACAAAGAACTGAGTGAGAACATGGCCCTTCGGGTAGCAGCTGCGCAGGGCCACGACCCAGATAAAACCCCCGGCCAGACCCCGGCCCCACACGAGGGCTTCTCTGACACTTGGGGACCAGCACCTCTGCCACCTGAATCAGCAGAAGCAGCCCCCTCCAAGCCTAAGGACTCCAGCTTTTTTGACAAACTCTTCAAACTGGACAAGGGACAGGAAAAGGCGCCCGTTGACAACCAGCAGGAAGCCAAGAGCGTGGAGCATCAACGCCAGGCTGACGAGATTTCTGGGTCGCCGAGGCAGTCTGATGATGTCCCTGCGGAGGGGGTAAGTGCCGAAAAGGACGGTCCATGTTGTGCTTAATGCCAGCTCAGGGGGACACGACCGCGGTAAGACGATGGCACATAGTTTGCTCTACGATCACTGGGACCCTGACAAGCTAGCGGGCCCTCGACCCCTCTAGAACAAATAGTGCATTGTAGCATAGTGTCGTGCCGGTGGGCGGAAACATCTGTCTGCAGAACAATAACAGCTGTGGCATCTGTTTTGTGTAAGAGACAGGAGGAGGTGAGCTACATGCAGATGGATCTGTCCTGCCGTTTATCAGAGGTGAAGCTAGACAGGGTGCCTCTGCGATCAGTGGAGTCTGGAGAGAAAGGCATTAGCCGAATAAAAATGGATCCTAAAAGACTTAAGTACCCCGCCTGGCCTCAGTAGTTTGTTTCACATACAGTGCGTTTTCAGGCTTTCTTTGGAATCCATGTCGTTTCTTACTTTTAAAAGCCTGAATTGATCTTTAACTATCTTTTGCACTAACGTGTGGGTTTAAATAAAGACCTTCTATAGCTCTGGGCAGACTCTTTAAATGCACTAATTATTTTCCAACAACCTAGAGCAATACCTTTGTAAAAACTAGATAGATTTTATAGAGGTTGCCAGAATCAGTTGCTGCGCAAAAAAAAAGGCAAGTTCTTTTGATCTTAAAAAGAGCATTTTCTTTTAACCTCGGAAGAATTTGTTTGTATTCGAGGCAAAGAATAGAGCTCCTTGAATGAAGAAGGAAATAAAAGTTAATACATTATGTTTTAAGGCACTCGTTTCCTTAGTTAATGCACTTTTAAATAACAATATCTTTTTCAAAATTTGAGGATAAAATCAAGTGTCTCTAGTTGAGGTTAGAACCAGGAAAAAATTAGACAGGCCCAGCCTTTTATTATATAGTTGTGTATCATGGCTGTCAATATATTTATCTTAATAACAACTAACTGTTTTGCAAAGTTTCTAATAACGACACTGACTGACATTTACTGAGCTTTTAAAACATGCCAGGCTCTGTTTTAAATACTGCATATCTACTATTTATCTACTATTTTCCCTAAGGAAAATGAGTATCCCATTAATCTCTGGTTTTAAAGCATCCAGGGTGGCGTCAAGAATTATATGGTAAATATTAGATGCCAGCTAAAAATTCTGGACAGTTAAAATTGGCTTATGTGTTTAAGATCTTACCATCAGCATTCTGGCTATTTTCGCAAGTTTTGACTCCAAGAACTGATTTTCAAGTTTTCTTTCCGAACTTTCAAAAAATTGCCCTTCAAATACCCACTTCCCCAAAGGAACCAGTTCAGGAGCCAATCGAATTGCTTTCTGTATAATTCAAAGTCTTCAAATGCATCCAGGCATCAAATCTTTACTGAGCGTGACACTGCCAGGCATGGGTGAGGCAAGGCCATGGTGGCGGGCAAGACAGAGCATCCCTGTCCTCAGGGAGTTTGCAGTCCAGCAGAGAAGAGGTACAAAACCCCACAATTATTATGCAAGGTGCCAGGTATTCTGCTGAGGGAGGCCAAGTGCTGGAGAGGGTCCCCAGACATGGGAGAATTAGCCTGGCTGGCCCAGGAAACGGTCCATCAGTGTACAATCCTGGAGCAGAAAGTTGCTTGTCTTGGGGCTATAAAATGGTCACTGATATTTATGAATAGTTGCGAAACTATGTCCTACTTTACCCTGAGTGGAGAAACTCTGGTTGAGTTCTCATTATGGGTCATGGGCTCCTAAGGCCATTTTGAGGCTGTGGCTTATTGAATAGTCGCAAGTTTTATTTACATAGGTAGCCAAAGCCCACCCATTGCCTGAGTTAGGGAGGGATTGAGTTATTTGCATGAAGAGGATGAAGGACTGCCATTTGCCCATGTTTGGACAAGTGTCTAGTGACTCATCCAAATCTCCATCTTAATTAAATAAACCAGTTCAGCACCCGATAACCATGTATTTAACATGTATTCAACCATGAAACCCCAAAACACTCATTCCGATCCTATTTTAAGAGAAGTGTAGAAAAATTTGAGTTGTGTCAACTCAGCTTTTTTTTTTAAAGTAAAGACTCTTAGGGAGAGCACCTCAATTTCAGTGGAATAAGTTTCAAAATGAGATTGGAGTCAGTCAGAAGATGAGGACTTATACTGGGAACTTGGCAGCTATCACAGAGTCAAGCCTGTGGGTGATGTTTTCGTCATAGGAACCTCTCAGAAGCCCGCAGATTGTAACTCGTCGTCCTTCCTAAGTTAGCTTCCCTGGATTCCCTGACGAAACTGGCATCTGTTCTTGTCCCACGACCAATTTCCATTTTTTTGTTGGTGGTATCATTGGAACTTGAAATACTGAGTTTCTGCTCAGCAATATCTATGTGTCACACACAAACAAGTCATAAAACAGCTGCGCGTGTCTCCTCTCATCTGTGAATTTGTGGATATTCAAATACATATGTCTACGAAGATTATTTACAAAAAAAAAAAATGGCCTTCTGATTGTTAAGGTTTCTCGTCTGATTTCTGGCTACACAGTTCTGTAATTGGGGCAAAAAATATATACCAATTGTTCTCTAAGTGTAATGGGACAATCCAGCCCTCAGAACATGACAGGAATAAAACCTCCCAATCAATGGCCTTGTTGGTGAAAGTACCACATTAGGCATAAATGGCCGTCAAAGTATTGATTCAGAATTCTTAGGGTAAAAGATGCTCTGGGCTCAGTGGTATCATCTGTCCCTCCTCACTCATCCGCACGAGCGTTTCCCCCTAACTGGATTGGAATTCCAACCACAAACCCACAGAGCTGTCAATTGGGAGAAAGATGCCACCATTTCATTCTAGGGGGAAACACACAAATCTTCTGTGTTTTCGGAACGACAATCTTATTTTTGTGCCTTCTAAAACTACATTCAGAGCATAGCATAATTAAAACAAGGCCAGAATTCATGAACAAATGAAGCATTTACTACGTAGGCCAAAGAAAAGATAAATTATATGCCTGAAAGGTTTCACTGAGCTGTGATTCACACAAACCAACGTGTTGGCAAGGATAAGATTTTTTTTTTTTTTAATTTTTCTCTCCTCTCAACAACGGAACCAGATCTATAAGATATGCATTAAAGATTCATCAAGAAAAAAAATTGGTCCCATAATGAAAATTTGACCTTTACTGGTAAACAAAACAAAACAAAACACTAGATTTCTGGTGTCAACCAGTACTTCCAGAACTGTCTTTGTGCTGGGAAGACGAGGTTTGTAAAGTGTTGCCAGCATGGATTCGTGAGATTTAAACAGGAATATTCCTTTTCTTTTAAAAGCATAATTAAATTCTGCAATTGTTATTTAAACACCAACCTTGTGCGAGCCATTTAAAATATAAATCATGGCCTTAGTCCTTCAAAGATCACATAATTTAGTCAGAGACATCATTTTTTAAAGGAAGATTATGATAAGTGTGTTGATCAGCAAATTCATTCAGACTTCAGATATCAAGAAAAATAGTCAGCGTTTTTATTTCCTCCTCCCCTCTGCTCTCTCGAGCACACTCCATTCAGCCCTTTGTCCTACACAAAAACTGCTCTTGTCAAAGTTGCTAGGATGTCGTACCTCCCCCCACCCCTCACCGCAGCTGCCAAGTCAGATAGGACTGGGTCCTTATTCTATTGGACTTGCCAGTCACATTTGACACAGTGGACCATCCCCTTCCTTGTTGACACACCCTCCTCACTTGGTTTCCAGACCCCTCCACCTTCATCCCGTTTGCTGGTTCTTATCCTCTAAACACCAGAGATCCCCAGAGTTCAGTTCTTGGACATCTTCTCTCACTGTCCTTACTTCCTTGGAAATCTTCTCCGGTCCCAAGGGTTTAAATATAGCTACCTGCTGACAAGTCACAAATTTATGTCTCTAACCTAGATCAACCCCGGAAGTCCGGACTTAAATATGTGGCTGCCTCTTGCATATGTGTCTACTGGAACAACCTACATCTCCATTTGAATGCCCACTGAGCATCTCTACCTAGGTTATGTCCAAAGCTGAGCTCTTCATTCACACTTAACAACAACAACAGCAACAAACACCTACCTGTTTAGGCCACAGGTTGCCTCATCTCAGTTAATGGCAACTGCGACCACTGCTGCTTAGTGGTAGGATTGGAATTAAAGAATCAAGGTCTTCAGAGTCCTTTTCTACATTGTGTAAGGTTAGTCGATTAAAACATAAACAGTGCAGTCAAATAGCTTAGGTTTCAACTCTGCCTCTCTCAGCGACTGGCTGTGTGACCTTGTGCAATTTGCTTAACCTCTCTGGGCCTCAGTTTACTCATCTGTAAAATGGGGCTCATACTAGTAATAAGCACGTTTACACATTATTCACACTTATGAAAATTAAATAAGAGATGCCACGTAAAGTACGTAACAGAGATACTGCACTTTGAGAAAAAAACAATGAGCTAGTGTTAGTGTCACGGTTTTTCTCCCTGTCTACAGCCACATTTTAGTCTTTTATTTTTTCCTTCAAAAGTCGTCAACCAAAACTCATAGAGAGAGAACAACTGAATCTAATTTAAAAGCTGCATAACCAAAGGCATAAGTCCTCATTTGGGTTAAAAAAAAAAAAAAAGTACTGGACTTATAAAATAATTTTAGAAGCTATGGCATGTAAACGTCCTTGCACACCCACAAGCTCAGTTTCTTGGTCTGACTTTTAATGGTCCCTACAACCTTTCCTCTATTTTTCCAACTATATTTCCCACTATTCTCTTAAATTTCTCTAGTCAAAATGGCTAACATATGACCTGCGCAGATGCCATTCGCTTCGCAGTATTTTTCTCCGCCTGTATCTCTTTCTCTCTCTGTTTATTGAAAATTTACCTCACCTTCAAGTGCCAAGTTCATGAAGCTGACCAGACGTCCTCACTCATGAGTGGTTGTGATGACACGAATCCCCCTCGTGTTTTTCGTATGCTATACATTGAGTCAGATTCTGCAATAAAAACACTTTGAAGAAATCATCTCC